AGACATGAAGTAGTAGTAGGAGGAGTTGTAGAACTGTAGGAGCAGGAGGAGGACTAAGACCAGGAGGAGGAGGAGGAGGACTAGTACAAGGAACAAGGTAATTTATTTAGTCATTATACAACACAAGCTTGAAGAAATGTTATGTCCATTTATGCTACACACATAGAACATAACCGATAATTAAGTTAGTATAACATAAAATGCAATAAAATAATATATACATTTATTTATATACATATATACACCCTGGAAATTATTCTGCAGTGCACTTTTGCATTTGGGGGAATGTAAACAGCAACAAGATTGTGATGATAATATCCACCCAGTGCTTGATCCAGGATGTTGATGGAGCAGGTTTCTGTAAAGATGTGGGCACAACAGTCTCTGATTTCCCATTTGACAAAATAGCCAGGAGCAGCCTAAAGTCCAAGCTAGGCCAGAAAATATTGAAAAATATCATATTGCGTTATTTTGTTTTATGATATTTTATCAATTCTCAAAAGCACCCGATCGATTTTTGTGTAGAAACCCACAGCCACTGGATAGCAGCGTTGTAAATGTAAACTAAGGGCTATGATGTTGCAGTGTATGCACTGTTCTATGGTTGCAAAAAAACTTTTTTTAAAGCTGAGATTTTATGCATATCATGGTGTGTTCTTAATACTCAGTTTGGACAGTTTTCCAAAAAGAAAAAACACATCACCTTCAGCTTCTGGATGCACAGCTGTTGCCATCTCCTGGTCCAGTTGATTTGAACAATTCTGGTTTGCAAATCAAACTCAATAAGACACCATTCAATAAAGTCTGCAATAAAGCATAAAAAATACACATTAAACAAAAGTATAGCAATTTTGAGTGGCCGCTACATCTGCAGTCATTGCCATAGCAGGAAAATAGTAGGTAATAAAAGGGAAGGAGAAGGAGTAGAACTAGTAATAGTATGTGTAATGGAGGGGGTAGCAGTAGATATAAGTAAAGGTATTTGTAGATATAGTAGGAGTAATAAAGTACTGTTAATTAAAGAAGTGGTTGGCCTGGCTTTATAAGAATAAAACATGATAACGATTGTTATTTATATAGTTTAATATTGAATCTCTCGGATGTTGCATGTGAATGTGTTAAGGGCCTCTTATAGGCAATCAGTGGCAGTATTGATCCATACTCCTTCAACCACCCACCCCCACAACACACACACACACACACTGACACTTCCTTCATCTCCTCCCTTACTCCATCTCCCTCCTCCTTCCTCTCTTTCTTCCTGTGTTCCTCCAGTGGCAGACTGAGCTGTAAAAATCAATGGGGAAAATGTCCTGGAACAGCAGATCTAGAAGCCATCTGGCCCTTGCTGTCCTCAGAGACCTGCAGTATGTCCCCCAGGGACTAGACACACAGAGAAGAAGCTGAGAGAAAGAGCGAGAAGAAGCCCAAGCACACAACAACACAAAGCAAGTGTTAACTCAATAACACGTACATCAGTGTGGGCTACACATCGCGTGGCTGTTACATAAGAGACAAAAAGGTGGAAGCATACAGAAGATAAACAGACTACTGTCAACGCTGTTTTAAGCTTATTTCAAGAACATTTGGTCCTTCAGTCATCTGTGTGTGTGATAGTCAGCAACTTAATTTACCATTTCACAACTTCTTCTTTTGCATGTAGTCAGACCAGAATTTAGATTCCCTTAACTTTTGCTGAACTTGGACTGCAGGTGGAGATGTTTTAATGTCTCTCAGGTGACATTTTGACCTTTAATAACACCACCTCCATCAGTAGTCAAGCCTTTCTGTTCAATGCACAACAACCACTCGCCAGGTTTCTTGTCAAAATTAGACCATTGTTGTCTGGGACATCACATTTGAGTTTCAAATTTTGACCTTTTATTATTGCATCCTCGTTAACGAATTAATGTCATTTGTAAGCGAAGCTGGATGTGTCTGTGTCGGTCACACTAAGAGTGTCAGAGGTGGAGGCAGGTTTCAGGAAATGAGGTGTGATCACACAGAGCAGAAAGTTACTGATGATTTAGCTATAAAACTGCAGTATAAAGTGTACTGAGAACAAAAGAAGAAATGAAAACAGAAAGGAAAGAATGAATGAAAGCAAAAGGAAAGAGAAAGAAAAGAGGAAAGAAGAATATGACAAGAGGTGAAGAATAGGAAAAAGAAGGAGAAAATGAGTAAAGATAGGAACAGAGCAAGAAGAAGAAGAAAGTGTGTGAGCAGCAGAGAAGCTACAGACTCGATCCTCTTGCAAAAATCTACTAAAACTGGTTTAATACAACTCAGCAGCCCATCAAACGTTTAGAGAGCCTGTTGGAAATTATTCCTGACATCTGATCCTTTAAAAGGGTTTATGATTCTCTATAACAAACCAGAGTAACCATCCTGGTCTGTCTGCCTGTCTGTCCTCTGGGTTCAGTCAGTCAAGCTCAATGATCATTATGTTCATATCAGGCTGAGCACTGATCCATCATATTAGTGACCAATAAACAGGCAATACAGAAACATCTAAACTAACAGTCATTCAGTGCATTATTGAAGGCTGGTTCTCTTTAAGACACTACATTTGCAGAACATATCTGAACCTCTAAACTATCAGAAGCGTCAATTGTATTTTGAGTTTGTCCCAGAACATCAAACCAAACATCGTAACAACAGAAAACTGGGTGAGATTACTTCAAACTGTTTCCAGTACAAATCATTTTATTTCAAGACACTGAAAATTAGATTTTTAGGACGTAACTTTTAAAGTGGTGTATGATGATGTAAAATTAGGTTCAAGTTAATTTTATAATAGGGCTGTAACAGTGTGTGTATTCAGCCAGATTTTTGGGGAATCAGTCCAGACACATGACACCCGTGAACCAAATAATTACTGCTGAATAGGCCTCACACAACTGGTGTTTACCATGTGCTAATTCTAAAGTTCAAGTTTCACTTGGAAAACTTTGGGTCAGTTGTTGTCCGTTGTTGATCTAGGGCTGGGTACTGAACCAAGCTGCTTATATACACAGACAACTATGTTAACTGTGTGCTGCTTGTAGCTTACCTGTATCTGCTCGTCTGTGAGCCTGTTTACCTCATCGCATCCTCTCGGAGTGTTAGAGACAGCATGGTGTTCGCTTACAGACCAGCAGGTAAAAGGAGAGAAACACACCAAAGCTGATGACAGTGGATTGTTCTCAGACCCAAAGTAGCTGCTCTCTGGCAAAGACACATTAAGAGGTCTTACTCTTCCACTATTTCCCAGTACCATAAATGTCCCCCACACAGTCATTCCCTTCTTCTTCTTCTTCTTTGGGTTAGATTAGACATATTGCTGCCATACCATGTATTAATATTCCTTTGACAGTCCTTTATAGTTTTCAATTAGTCCAATACTATTCATATATTCAGTTTTATTTGATCATTTTATCCCAATTATCTAGGTCGAGTAAAGTGCACAGAGTAAGGGTTTCTCCAACTGCGGCTCTGAGGTCTGTGAACAGCTTCCTCATCAGTAATTGTACTGTAATGTATAGTGTTCATTTTATGAAATTAATATCGTTTAGGAACCGGTATCGGAGTCAAGGTATTGGTAGCTAAACCATGCAAGTTTGGTGCACCATGACTGAACAATGAGTGGCGGATTAGTAAGAACTGTGTGGTCACTGTTGAACTGTATCTGCAACAGTCAAACTCTTACAACAACATCATCCAAGTGTGTTATCGAACTAGCAGACAGTGAGTTGTTCCATACACATGTGTACATATAAACTATATAACTGAATGTGAAACTGGACTCCCATTCTGTTTGCAGGTTAGAGGCTTTTGTAATAATGAAGGAGCACTGTCACTGACATATTGACATTTGTTTTTTTCTTATTCACCACATCACTATGTTGAGTGTCTCACTGCACAACAATAATTATGGTCACTGAGTCACCATCTAATTTTAAACTTCTCATAATAAATGACAAAACATAATCTGAGTCTCTGTATGTCTCAAAAACCTACCTAACAACTCTTTGGCTACTACACACACACACACACAATGCAAATGATATTGTTTAGAGTATGAGGTGCGTTCTAAAATCTCAGTCTGGCAGCTGTTACTGTTCACACAGTTTCATAACTTCATTATTATTATATTTTTTTAGAATAATAATAATAGTGCACTGTCACCATTATTATGGTGGAATGTAACTAATGACTTGAACTTGTGATTAGGTATTTTTGCAGTGTGCTTTGCTACTTTTTTAAGTATCTGAACTCTTCTTTAGCCACTGATCATTAGTACACGATAGCCACTTTATTAGTTTATACAGTACCATTTGGCACGTGTACATTAATTGTGTGTCAGCACGAAAATGAAAATGGATGCAGATTTATTTGTGCTCCAAAAATGGCCAAAAGGGGGATAGACTCTGGTAAACTGAACAGGTGGGAGGATTGTGCTGAGCTCTTCCCTCCACTGCGTCCCTGCTCTCCGCACAGACATCACCACATGCAAACCACATGGAGGAGTCTCTGCGGTGAAGCTGTCACACCTTAGAAAAACAACACAGCCTCTTATCTCCAGCATCACTGCTGCAGCTTCTACCGCTCAGCTGCTTCTTTCTGCGCGTTCATACGACTGTTTACGCGTTTTAGTCACTATTTCCTCAGCAGCAGCTCTCGTGGTTTCTCTCCTCTCTGCCTGTGCAGCCTGTAATGACTGAGAGAGGAATGCTGCTGGTTTTATATAGGCCTCTAAAAATAACTCACCCCTCATTGCCATCTAGGGCCGGACTGACAGCCTCCTGCAGCCAATAGCGCCTCTGCATCCCCGATAGCTCCGCCCGCTCCCTCAGTCTCAGCGCCTCCTTAATTGGACGTCAGTGACATCATCAACCCTATTTACCTTATTAGGTCACGCATGAAATTGAGTGACAGGTGGCTCCTCCTCCTGCCTCCCTCCCCTCTCGCGCCGGTCGCCTGGCTTGCAGCGGGGTCCAGTCTGCTGCTGGAGGAGCAAACCTGGCAACCTGGCAGCGTGTACGGAGACCGCTTGGCAATCTGGCAATGCGGAAATAGATCTGGCACCCCCGAGTCCGGACTGAGGAGAGAGGCGTGACAGAGCGAGCAGAGAGGAGAGGGGATTGCTTTGACAAAGATAAAATAATCAACTCTTTCTTTCCTGTGAGCTGTTTTTTCTTTTTTAATTAAAGTGCTCAGGTGCGCTCATCTGCACTAGCTGGGATTTTTTTTTCTCCCCAGAATTTGTTTCTTAATTTGACAAGTCTGAGAGGAGCAAAGAAGAAGTGCGTTTTTAATCGTTTGGATTCCGGACTTCTTTACTGAGTTTTCCTTTTTTTGCGTCAAGCATGGATGTGCTGGCGAATTACAGTATTTTCCAGGAACTCCAACTCGTTCATGACACTGGTTATTTCTCTGCGATGCCTTCCCTGGAGGAGAACTGGCAGCAGGTCAGAGATGATGCGTTTTCTCTTCTTTTCCGGGGAATTTGGAGGGGTTAGAAACTGTGGTGAAATATCATGTGTGCGCTGGTTGCTGTTTTCTGCGTGTGTTTGTAGTGTTTTGCATCACTAGAGCGCTCCGGAGCGGCAGCAGCGGCCCCGTGTAGTTGCGTCTTTTTTTTTTTTTTTTTTTTTTTTTTTTTTTTTTTCGCTCACATGGAGCACGGCGAGGTCCGCTGACAGGAGAAAACACACACACACACATACACACACACACACACACACACACTCACACACACACACACACACACACACACATACTCACTCACTCACTCACGGGGGAAGTGGGGTGAGAAGGGGGAGGATACAAACAGAGCTTTACGCACTAATGGCACTAATGGAAAAACTGCATTTTAAAATGCGTAAAAACATTCTGACCATCTTTACATTTTGGCACACGCCCCTTACTGAACGAATGCCTCCTTAAATGTCCCTTAAACGCACTTAAGGGTTAATTAAACCCCTTAATCAGTACTCTAAAAGCTGGAGCATGGCGCTGTTGTCCTGTGAAAATCCCCCGTGATGGTGGTACAGATTTTGACTGAAAGCTTTTAAATGCAGCTGGAAAAAACTCAAAACGCAGGTGCTGAAAATGTAGCTTGTCCTTAAAGACCGACGTTTTGGAGATAAGAGGTTTTCACTTTGGTCTGTTAAAGGATCATCTTCAGCTGTTTTGCCACTTACTTATCCCATGCATATTCCCTTTATAGGTAATGCTGTTGGATACAACTCTAACATGCAGATGGTCTGAAAAGGCTGTTTTTCACACAGCTTTCCTTTAAACTTGGCGATATGAGGGTTTTTGCCAGGCACAGATAGAGCAACATTTAGGGCTCCTCTTGATCTGATGAGGATCCGATTCAGCTGTTTTACCCCTTTAAGTTACTTATCTGGAGCACATTTGTCCTTCATTTGAATATGAAAAGTTTAGGTGGTTTGTAGGGCTTAAAAACCATTGATTTGAACGTTTGTTTTTTTTGTCCTGTTATATTGAATGGAGGAGACTTCATCATGTTACTGTATTTAATAGACAGTTCAGACTCTGAATGGGCGCTGATTGAAGGAGAAAGCAGAGTGATTCTGTCTTTTCAGTCTGACCTGATGATGGAGGATGCTGTTTTTAGTTTGACTGATCTGATCGATGGAGCAGTCTGTCACCCTGATATGTTTGGATTGTCACGCACGCACACACACACACACACACACACACACACACACAGGCCATGGAAGATGGACACATGCCTAATAGCTAGTGACTGCTCCTTAAATAATATATCCGCATCTGCCACTGTTTGTTTGCAGATAATCCTGCTGAATTATGCATTATCACCCACTATAGAACATTTACAAGACTCTGCATGAGAGCCCACAGACAGTCTTTATCTGAGATGTAAATCTTTACTGTATTTGTATTAAAATAGGTTGATGGGGATTTTCTGTGTACCACATGCTGTCTGTGGTCCGTGGGGAGGAAAAACATTTTCTGTTTTCACAAATGGAGTAAAAGCTTGCAGAATCAGAGTGAGGATTTGAAATAGTTTTAGATTGTATTATATATAGAAATGAATAAAAATATGATATATATGACATGTTTTACAAATTAAGGTGACAAATATTTTCCCTCAAGTTTCCACCCTTGAACTTGAGAAATGGAAGCTGTTAATTGGAAGCCATCTTCAGCCTCATGTGTGAGTGTGCTGTAGTGTGTTGCCACTTGCTATTTAATGTTTGGTAAACCAGTACACCCATAGTCTCCCAAAGGGTCCCTGCATGGGACAACGTCTCCTCAGATGGGTCAGCCCATTGTGTGTATTCCAAAGGGTCAGACCACGTGTGTGTTTAGGTAGTCGTGAGTGAAGCCCAGACTGCCTTTCTCCTTGTGTCTTACTGACACAAATTCACGCTGCCTCGTCCTATTTTTAGTCCAAATAGCACATAGTTTCATCCCCTGTAACCCAAATTTTTCTGTCTGTAAGCATATTGTTAACTGATTGAGAGGTTTCACAGAGTTTCAGGTTTTGATGTCATGTCTCATTTTCCACAGAATGGCTGGAAAAGCTGTTTAAATTGGTGCCGAGAGACAAGAATGTAGACCTGGGGAAAAAGTAGTTCCAATTCATCTGCACTTGTATTTGCAGAAAACAGTTTCAGCCTAATACAAATACCGTAGAATGAGAGTACACTGTAAGATACCATTTGAAATTTGACGGCAATGCTCATCTAACACCGGAGTTGTTTGCCCCAAAAGTGGATGATACCTGTTTTTGTGGGAGTTGCTAAAATGTCATGTGGCCAATCAAACAAGTTTGTTGTTTACTTGGATCCCCATTTGTTGTCATGTCGGTACTGACGGGTAGCAATGAAAGTTCATTGGAGGCTATTGAAAGCTGTTCTCTTGAAGGGGCATTTTTTGCTTATTTGTGTTCTTATCAGTAATTAGATGCGGATGATGTATATCAGTTCCATCTCTGCATGTCCATTATAGAGATTGATCTTAGCTTAGCACTAAAAAGGCAAACGTTGTCTGCCACCGACTTAAAAGCTGTTTACAAATTGTGTCTTTTGTATTTATATCCTTCTTCCTATTGTTTTGTATTAATAATTAAGAAAGTACTAATGTTTACAGACAATTATCACCAACTCTGGAGTTTCAATAAGCGTTTTAGCCTCTTTTAGGATGTAGTTTTGGTTTTATGGGACATTTACTGTGTGGTCCAGTCTCAGTGTTTCCAGCAGCAGCAGGCAGCTGTTTCCAGCAAATAAGCTGTGATAACCCGCTGTACACACTATCTGCCCAACACTGAACAGCAGACACACACAGTTAGTGACTAGATGGTGAACAAAGTGGAGCATCCAGCAGATAAAGAAACAGATATTTAATTTTCAGTTGGGTGATTCTTGGATGCATTGGTGGCTGTTGCCTGCTAGCTAACAAAATGCAGCAGGAGAAGAAGACAAATTTCCAGCTGAGTTCATATTTTTTCCCCCTTTTCTTGATAGAAGCTAGCAGTTTCCTGCTGCTTAAAGTCCTTTTTTAATGTTATTACTTTGTGAATATAACTCTTAAAAAAATCTCTCATACAAACTGAGTTTTCATACTCTCCACAGAGAGCATTTTGTTAATATAAGCTCAGTTTTTCAGAGTGGAAAATGTTGCGTTATTGTGGATAAAAGACCAAAACTGAGAGGAAAATATGTGTTTTCAAAGTGTTTTATCAAAGAGGAGAGAGACAAACACACACTGGGACCAGACACACCCACTTTTTTTCCACTCTTGTTCCTTCTGTCTCCCTCTATCCCCTCATTCACTCCATCACACACACACACACACACACACACACACACACACACACACACACACACCCACACGCTCACACACACACACACGCTTAGCTGGCATGCACTAATGGAAAGCTATGGTCTGGCAGGACTCATCCCGCCACTTTCGACAGTAATTGGCCGTTTGCTGTCAGACGGACAGAGAAACACACATGCGCACACACACACACGCAAACAAACAACCAGATCTGTGTGTGTGTGTGTGTGTGTGTCATTTATCTTTCCTGTCTGTCCCTGCATCATGCTCCTGGTCTTTGTTTCCTTGTACAGGCTGCTTTTATCAGCTGCTTTGCATCATGGCTAAACATGTGGAAGACACACACACTATCTCCCTCTCTCCCTCTCTCTCTCTCTCTCTCTCTCTCTCTCTCTCTCTCTCTCTCTCCCTCTCCCTCTCTCTCCCTCTCTCTCTCTCTCTCTCTCTCTCCCGCCCTCGCCTGTCTATCAGCCTTGTTGCCTCTGACAGTACGAGCCCATGTTCTGCATATAATTGCTGCATCTTTGCAGGTTTGGAATGATGTGATGGGCTTTAGGGATTTGTGTGTGTGTGTGTGTGTGTGTGTGTGTGTGTGTGTGTGTGTGTGTGTGTGTGTGTGTGTGTGTTTGTTTGTGTGAAGTGTCCAAGGATAAAATGGCAAACCCAGACTTCCCAATTAGATGTAATCCATTTATTTCAAAGCAGAGCCATGCCAAAGTCTTATGGGGGAACATAGAGACAGTGAAAACAAAGGGTTGATGGAGGTTTGGGTTTCATGTGGGTGTTGTGAATACAGATCTGCATTTACAGACCCATACTAAACATTAAATGGACACTGTGTGCAGGTAACCTGTCTCATTTAGAAGCCTAACAGTGCTTTAAACTTGCTGATTCTCTTACAGTCTCTTTCTCGTCTTGTCTCTTAATTTACGTGCTCAGTGTGTCTGTAGTTCTTTTCGAGCTGATTGATTTATTTGCTGCGGTGTCGTTACAGCAGAGACCAACCAGCTCTGTGTTACTGATATACAGTCTCTCCATTAGGCCTGGCAAGCCTGCAGCCTATACAGCCCTGCATCCTTCTCAAGAGTGCATTTTGTCACTATTGTACATACTGCAGTTTATGATGATGCAGATGTCCAATCCTCACTGAATCTCTGCAGAAGAATTGCTCACAAATCTCACCAAACACTGCTGTTTAAATCATCCAATTCAGAACCCCTGTTAAAAGCCCAAAACATTTTCCTCAAGAGGTGTGAACTGTGAAAGAAAGTCCCATGTTCTTGTCAGGCAGAGCTTATTCTCAGGTTGTCTATCACCCCTACAATCTTCATCATTTCAAATCTCTGTTAACCCTTTCTATCACTCTGCTGCACCTAAACTGAGCCAACAACCGCACAATAACTCGGCCTAAGCATTATGCTTTTGGGGCTTGTTGGCAATGCTTCACTGCCTGGGAGGAAATACTGCCATATAAGTTGAATTCAGGTCAAAAAATTCCCTTAGGCTTTTTTAAAGGTCTTGTTTACTCTCACTGGTACTGCTTGTTTATTTTTTATTATTATCTCTGAATTCTTTAAAGGTCTGAGTTTTATCGCAATTAAAACAAGAAAAAAGAATGGACTGCTTGGACTGA